TTCTTTTATCCTGTTGTGCAGTCTTCCCCAAAAGCACTCGGTTGAATTACTTCGTTTTCAGTAAGACGACCGATGACTACTTACCAGGAAAATGTGGATGATAAAACAAATTAAGATAAATAGCATCCACTCTAAATCTATCTCTGATTACAACCCTAACCTTAAACTTAACACCAACGCAAACCATATTATTAACGCTAATTACAACCCTTATCCTAACTGTAAACCTTTCCCTAATTTTAATTATGTCCTTTATCCTAACCCTAACCCCATTACTTACCTTAAATCTGATCCTAACTCTAACGAGCTATTAAGACATTGTTGAAACAGTACTTAAAAACGTGATCTGAGTGAAATTTGCTGCTTAATTGGTGAACAGCGTTGATATTTCAGATACGATAATGACAGGTGTCGTCGGCCAACGACTAGAGTGCGTTCAAGGTCGATGAAGCATTCGCACTCCTGGGACGCTACTGTTGAACATCGCCGGAAATTCTCGGTATCAAAGGCAGCTTACTAAACTGAATTAGGGAATTCCTCACAGATAGGAGACAGACGGTCAGGATCAACTCAGAACTCTCCCCCTGGACAAGAGGGCGTAGCGAAGTGTCAAAAGGCACGGCACACAGGCCTCTCCTGTTTATTTTGTACCTCAATGGGTCGTCTGTGCTCAAGGATGGACCTGCACACAGACGACTTAAAAAATATGGGGGAGGTGAAGGGCAACACAGATTCGCTCACGTCGCGAGAAGACCTCAAAAAATTCTAAGGGTGGTCCAGAGAGAAGATGCTGCCTATTAATGTGGCGGAATGTGCGACCATGCGCATCGGACAGGCAAGCATCAGCCCCTATGAACTATAGGGAATAAAACTCCCATCAGTTTAGACTCACTTGGACTTTGGTAGATTAGCAAATCACGACTTAGAAACTACAGCAGACTGTCACACGGTGGCTGCACGTAGTTTCAGATACTTATGGAAAATTTGCAGGGCCTTTACTAGAATCATCAGAGATATGTTCACCTTATATACATCTCTGGTGAGGTCTAGAATAGAAAATTGTTTCCAGGTAGCCAGTCCTTGTATTAAAGGGGACTCATATATCCTACAAAGGGTTCAAAGGAAGGCAAAACTTATGACCCCTGGCATGACTAATTTATCATGCGAGGAAAGACTAGACAGTTTAAATCTCTTCCCCCTATCATACCGCAGGCAGAGAGGAGATTTAGCTTAAATTTTAAGCGATGACTACGCACCTGACCTATTCTCTCTTTTTCTTACCCACCAAGTTGGAACACTTAAGAGGAGATTTAGTTACAATGCCCAGAGTTTTAAATAATAACTACGTACCTGATATATTCTCTCTTTTCATTCCCAACGGGTCAAATCACCTCAGACGACATAGCAGAAAAGTTCAAAAGACAAGGAAAAACCATATTGCTGTGGAGTACTGGTTCTCACACCGAGTTATAAATTACTGGAACTGACTCTTAGAAGAAGTGGTGTCAACAACCTCAAATGACTCATTCAGGAAAGGTTTGGAAAGGCACAGAAATTCAATAGAGAAAGGATTAACATAGGCTCCAAGCCTTCTATCTTTAATCAATACATCTGCATCTGAAAGATCAGCAAAAAACCGGACGTAACACTTTTACATTGGTTACAGTTTGAAGCTCACTTATGGAATTAAATCGGTCCAATGAACATTTCTAAAGAGTCGCTGAATCTACGTAGAGAATAAAACTCGAAAGATTAGCATTAACAGCCAGGACTAGATTCCTACAACAATGAAACTGGGCATTTCTTGCTTTACATTCAATTATATACGCTACATTGTATTTTTGCTGGGGTTGGACGTATTAGTGTTTGTTGACACTATATGTGTCATAAAAGGTAGTGATGCTTGGAATTAAGTAAATATAGTCATTTTATGCGTCCAAGAAACTATTTTTCAAAAGTAACACCTTTGTTTGTGAAATAGGCAGAAATGAGTTAGTCGACTAACGATCGTATCCACATGGTGGTACTGTAGTGAACAGTCGCGTTTTGTGTGAAATCCGTCTACGTTCTCATTCCATATCTTCTAATTGTTTGATTGGTTTTGCTATCTTATGAAAAATTTTGTGGGGATTTCTAAGGAGGTCATGTCATGTTAGCCCTCTCATTTACACTGCTCTGCCTCCCTTTCCGTAATAAGTACTGCCCTACTTATAACTGAAAATATGTTACAAATTATGATCACTAGTATTCCTTGGCAGTCTGCGCTTCCTCCTTGATTATTCAGCACCACGACATGCGTCAGAACTGTAATTATGTTTATGATAATAATATACTTGTTCTCACCTATGATTTAAAAAAACTTTTGTTTCACAGAAGTGTAGATAGTAAAGCTCATAACTTTTTTTGACAGTGGTGTTCATAAGACCTTGCTCGGGTTGTGAACTAGGATTTAGCTCTGGGATATTTATGTAATTTATCAAGAAAGTAAGTTACTAATCCAGATTCAGGTAATAGAGGTAGTAGCCTCTCGTAGTCTGTGTTAATCCATGCGATATATCTTTCACAGAGATCGAATCTCACTTTGCAAATATTCACAGATGGAGCTGATGCTACTTGATCGGGTAAATAGTCCCATGCGTTGACCACTTCATAAGAGAATCTTAACTCCAGGCCTGTTTCATTCCTCTGCGCAGTGAACACCTTTTTATGGTGATCTCGTAAATGTATCCTAGAGGGACGGAGAAGGTAAGAAAGGTCACTCCCAAAATCACCCTTAAATATACGATATGCCAAAACTAAGTCATCTCTCCTTCGGTATGATAATGGAAAGCGATTTAAACGTCCCATTCTCTTCTCATAAGGAGGGTGTGAGATACTACCTTGTGTATTTGTTCCTAGATATGTGCCTCCTTGAAGTATGAACTAGCCACTTATACACAGTATTGTGCATGAGGCTTGATATGTCGCATAGTACTTTGAACCTAAATTCATCTAATCATTTGAAAGCTCTTCGAAGTTCCCATAGCATTCGAAAAGCCTTGGCTGCAGCTGCATTATGATATGCTGTTGTTTTCAAATCATTTCTGACAATCATTTTTAGGTCTTTTTGTCCCTTAACATTGGATAGTTTTTTGTACCCCATGGAGTACGATTTGTAAGACCTCTGACCTAAGTGCTTAACTGTGCTTTTCCTGGAATGAACTTCCAAGTTCCAGAGGCTAGATCTTTCAGTTAGTTTGTAAGGCTGACCTATCACTACCATTATTTAATTTTTCGGAGACCTCAATATTATCCACGAATAATAGTGAAATGTGTAGAAAAAAGTGAGTGTAGCAAACAATTTAGCGACAAGTACCTAAGATGTCCACACCAAATCGATTAATTCTCGGTTTGAATTTTCTGTAGGATTTTTTATTACAGACTATACGAAAACTGACTAGAATAACTGAGCGAGTGTACGCAGATTCAGTATAGTTCAGCCAGAGAGATGCACATCAATAATTATCCCAGTTAACAAAAGGAAATCCGGTGATAACCATAGGGAGATTAGCTTGATAAATAAAACAATCATGAAAGTTAAAAAGAGGATAGGGTCAAGAAACTCGGAAGAATTATGTAGACTACAATTATGAGGAACGACACATTGGTCACACCAGCTTAAGACAGATACTAGGCCATGTATATTGATGACTGCCTGAACAACTTTTTCTAACCTGAGGGAATCTGACTGTCACGACCCAGCTGTCTTCTCGATGGTACATTTTGTTTACCTTATGTTTTTGACCTTATTAATCGTAACTCATTCAATACTTACCACATTTCTTGTGCAGACCCCTTATAAGGTCGTGCAACAATAACCAATATGTTATAAAAAGTCTATCAATTGGCCAGATTAGGGTATATTGTGCCACTGTTGTCTTTAAATTTCCTTCCCAACCTCTGTCAACCATGTAATACTGTATTTTGTGGCGAAAAGCACTGGCATAATACACCAGTTCGACCTTTTTCATCTGCTCTGCTCAGATTTCAGTGTCTCTGAAGTTTTCTGGTTGGCATACAATATATCATGGACGTAAACGTTTCTGTTGTTGATGGCTTCAGTGAGTTGAAAAAGCTTCCAAATACTGTCAAATGCAGCTGCTATTCCTATGTTGAAATCTACTGGTATTTTTCTTCCCAGATCTGTCTCAGTCTTGACAGTATTTGTGGACCAAATATACTAATTGTGGTCACGCTACGACACATCTAGAAATGAGCTAAACATCAGTGATTGTCCATCGTTTTTATTTTGCTGAGTGATGTATTACCCTACTCTTTGTTTTTATCTTTCTGGAAGAAGACTTCTCCGTACATGTACTGTTTGAGATATAAAGACGAAAAGGTACTTCTAGCCAAAGTGTCCGATTTCTTCATTCTGGGTTTCGTTGGGCATCCGTACTAACACTCTGTTTAAAGTTTCAGTTTACATGCAAGTTGCGTTTGTGGTCAACAAGATTAGAAGTATTCGGTGTGGTTCAGAAGCATATTAGAGTCAAAATAGTTTACAATTTATCATACGTTTTAGTCTTGTACCTTTTTATATTAGTGTGTATGCTCTGTTTTATTGAAAATACTGAGTAACAAATTCTTGTTTCTTTCAGGTCTGTGTCGTTCTTCCCGTTTGTGGTATATTAATTTGTTTAAAAAAGTCGTAATTCACCAGCAGATTTAAGAAAAAATCCCCATTATCTTACTCTACGGATATTTTGGGGGATTAAACAAGAATGGCTCTAGGCCGTCTGTCATTGAGTTTATCATCTTTAAGCCGATTGACTGTGAACTCATTTGGCAGCAGCCTTTTTTCCACGGGCTATAAACTACCAGGATTATTTCCAACATTCATGTTGTATCCGGTCCAACCGCAATTGCGACATTTCTTTCGCAACTCTCACGTCGTTTTTGCATCCCAACTCTATATTCCTTGCCGTCATAGCACTATATTCAGCAACTTTCCAGGTGAAATGTTGTGGGAAGGTGTGACTGGGCCAAAAGGAGGTTCCAAAAGGCGTGCTAGAGGAAAACGCAGGGTTACAAGGCCTAAGGTTGATCTTCACCGGGGACAAAGAATAGGAGTTGGTAAAGCTGGTGTTCAGTGGCCTGGTCTTAATGCTAGCATGACATCCTCGATTATTAAAAAGGTAAGCTGTTGACTGTTATGGTTTTATGATTTATAGTTCATGGGAATGTTAGCCTTAGATTATAAAAACATCTGCTACTTAATCACTGTTGACTTGAATTCATAGGACGATTTGACCATGATTGATCTCAAAACTTTTGAATATAAGTAATCAGATAACATATAGAACCTACTGACTCTTGATATATGAGTTAGTCTCAAACTCAACCAAGTTCTTGTAATAATTTTAACACTAATAACATTTCATTGAGTTTATATTCGTTGTACATATAGTGAGAGTGGTGAAGTTAACAATTATGGTGTATTACTGTATGATTCTGTGTGTGTAACGATTCTTTGTAACGTACGGCTCTCGACTAAACTCCGAATATGGTGTATGCTTGGAAATGTCCTATTTTGATATCGTGTTTTTTAATTTTATTTAAACAGTAAACTTATAGGACGTTGGTACCAGGTGATGTGCCCCTTAAAGCCCAAAGAAAATGAGAAAATTTGAGAGATTGCAGTAAGGAAGTAGTAAGACGATCAAACAAATAGCTCCTCTAGAAGCGTTCGTTACTTTTGCCTCCGTTTAAAATAATACAGAAACCCAGCGAATTGTAAAGAAATTGTCATTGGTTTTTTAAAAACCATATCGTAGAATATACATTAGTAACAACCAGTCACACGATAGTCGTAGCTCATGCTACAGTGTGTGAGACGTCTGATGCGGGTAATTGAGTTTTTATTTAGAGATAAACCAAATAAATCAAGGAAACCTCATTTGCTGCTGATTATTTTTGTCAATCCCAAATCCTAGAAAACTATTTACATAGTGTTGATGCTAATATCTACAGATAAACTTCAACCAGTCGATCTGATCTTTTTAAATTGAATCGAGACACGGAGAGCTTCCGCTGGGTCAATGGTTCCATAGGGAGTTTCACAGCTAACTTTAGGCTCCTGAAGTTTTCGTTTGTCTTCACTTGAAACAAGCACGAATTACATCTTTCCAACAGTTTGTAACAAAATTTGGCAAATGTAAGTGAAGCTTTTTAGAAAATAATGGCCACTAAAGCAGAGTTATTTGGCTTATATAATTTTAGTATCCGTGTGACATACACGCTTTTTGTAGTCTGCTGGATTTCATAAAGTGTTACCTACAACTTGATATGCAACTTCATTGATTCTTCCGTAAAACTAACATATTAAGATGATTAACTTTTTAAGTGAAATCAAATTAAATATGTCTTAGCAACCACCTGTATTTACACGTAGTTGATGGTAGGCTACACAGTGTGTAAGCACTAATGATACTAACTGTCAACACAAATCTCAGTAGGTACAGAGGGATTTAAACCCCTTCCTTCGTGGTTGAAATCTGAGCGTCAAAGCCGACGAGCCACAGCTCTGCAAGATTAAATGTTATTATTGCGGTGTTTATGATAGTACTGTAATCGTATAGAAAAGAAAACACTGCACATCATGCATGGTATCAACCAAATAGCAACCAGATTTTAAGAAAGTAGTCTTTGATCATAGGTGCCTGCGTTCTATCTCCCGTGTGAAATGGTATAATAGAGTGATCAATATTGAGGTTAGGCATCAGGTGCTAGGTAAGGAGAGATCAATTAACGAGGCTGTGAGGTTACATCGACGGAGATGGTTATGACATGTGCTACGCATGCCTAGCCATCACTTTCCTTGACGGACAATGCTAGCTAACATAGGATGGATCAGGTTGGAAAAAAGACAGTGGTGGTCAAACCAAAACATAGCTACATCAGTCAATGAAATCCACAACAGTTAGTTTAAGCCACGTAGGAAGGTGTAGACTTCCTGGTTGAGGTCCTCGGGACGGTAGAAACCAATGGCTTGAGACAATTGATGATATGGCTCAAAATCGTTCTCAGTGACTGGCACAGATGCATCCAGTCCTTGTGACTTATAATACCCAACAAAACTGTGTTGTTCTTCGATATTACTATTCCTTTTGCTTTATATCTCTGTTTTCTGTCTCTACTTTGCATCTCTTTTTATTTTATTCTCTTGCTTTGTATGCTACATAGAGTGTGGCAACTCGAACTTCTGCACATCAGTGCAGAGTTCTATGTTGAAACCAGCCAGCCAGACTTTATGATAAGGCACAAAGGTATTTAAGAAAACTTTCTTTTTGTACAATCGTGTATATTTTAATGCACATCACTTTTGTTAGCTTCATTTTATTTTACCTGTAGTATAGTTACGACTCATCGAATTAGTATATTGGAAAGGTAATTCTATTAAAGCCACTGTAACGGGGCAGTATCATGACCATCACATGGTGGGTTTTTGCACAGCGTACAAGTCCGTACGTGAATTTTTAGTCAAGTAGAAGAGAATTCTCAGATTCTCTTATTCAAGTTCGCTTATAATGAAATTTTGACTGTTTCATCAGTGTGGTATTGCGAACAGTTGTGTTGCGTCACTTAAGAAATAGGTTGATAACTCAATTAAGCCTTCAAGAATGGCTGGTTTGTTCTGATTATCAAATGCATGTAACTACCCGTTTTATAATCCAGACGTACCCCTATACATTCTGTACTTCGAACAACTCATCGATTATGTGCTAGACAAACTGTATGAAGCAAATATGTATTGTGAATTTGAACTGTTAACTTGTTTTGAATTTAATCTTGTGTATCACTCACTGAATAACCATGCATAATCATATTTTGTGTGGCCTAAAGTCAATTTATTAGCCTGAACATAAACCCAGAGTCACATACTCATGTTGTGTAGTTTTATTCAAATCTTTGTTAGTTCTCACACTTATATCTGAGTGATTAAAAGTTATTTAAGTGCATCATGTGGAAACATTTGTAGAAAACTGCGCATATGTATATTTTATTTATATTTATTTATTTAAACGCAGAAAAACTGTGTACAATATGGCACCAAGAAAGATGCGCCACACAATATTGTGTGAGGGCTGAGATACTGCCCGGGCGCCCAGACCGAAGCAGGTGGTTTCCCTAAGGGACCACTCCCCAAGCCTTTGACTTGGAGTCTAATCCGCAAGGCAGCGGAGCAGCGTCAGGAGCTGCGTTCCCATGATTGCCGGTGACCCATATGGGTTCATACGCTATTTGATCCGATTGAATTCTGGAGCCCATGTACCCCATGGTAACTGCTTTTAGTCTAACCGCTATCCAAACAACCTTCCTGACATGGTAGGACCTGCAGGGACATGAGTCCCAGCCAGTTTAGCTTGTTGGGTCACTGCGGCATTCAAGCCCGACCACCACGGCAAGGTAGCAGTTATCGGCCGGGATATATATATATATATATATAATGCAAAGAAAAAACAATAACAGTTATCACAGGAAAGATTGCAGCTCTTTACAAAATGTTCCTAACTTTTCAATTTATTTTTTGTCTATAGTTACATTGACCTACTCTTTGACTTGAATGTGATAAAATCATCAATCACTCAGTCATTTAATATTTTACACTGAACCAAGTAGTTCACCATTCGTAGGTGCATATACCACTAATGACTTATAAAAATCCTGTCATAAATTAGCTGAGTTGTAATAATTCGTAGAAATATTCTATTCTTCCTTGCAGGATGATTATAGTGAAGCTTATTTTCAACGATTAGAACAACTGCGTAATAAATCCGCAGTAAAGAAAAAGCGTTTGAAACTAGCCCCCTTGGAACGTGGTTGGACAGGCACTCGATTAGGAGGCCAATCTATTGGTCCACCAACTCCAAATCATCCAGACTTCGATTGTCGTGTCATTGAGTCGAAGGTATGTTTATTTGTATTTAGTGTTTAAAAATATCAGATGTCTTCTAAATGTAGGTTCTTATAGCAAAAAAGTTGAAAATTAAGAAGTCTGTTTTGAGGTTTTTCCGTATCTTACAAAGCTGCTTTCATAAATTATAAAAGGCATATCTGTCACATACTTTCCCCCTTCAGAATCAGTAGTCATTACTTTTCTCATTGAATACAATACATGGCTTGCTTTACAGCAAACAGCGAATCTAAGTTTCCCTTTTATCTCATTCGTACTCATACGACAGTTATCTGATGCAGTCTACAGATTGTCGACAGGAGACTTTTTGTCATTGAAGATGGTTCACTCATCCTTCAAATTTTCCAGTTTGTTTCGATATGAAATTGCGTCAGTGGCACGGCGGTAGAATACTGGCCAACTACGTATGGGGTTTGGGGTTCGATCCCCGGCCGACTCGCTCCTTTGCCTCGCTAAGCCAGTAATAAGACTGTTAAAGAGGGTAGGTTGAGCATGAGGCTAGCAACTCCACCTCGTAAAAATAAAACACCACTGCTACCGAAACTTCACAGTTCTAGCGTGAAGCCCTATGTACCACTGGGAACGTAAAGCAATCGAATAATTGATATGAAATTCGCGGTTATGTTGCAGTTGTGTTTTCTACTTGTAAACCATTGATCAAACCTTCAGCAAAATCAAGCGATATGAGGCCACCAGTTTGAAAATATTCAAGTATCTAAACGTATAGGAATTCTGATACATCGTATCGAATTCTAAAGTAAGGTATTTTATACATTTAAGACTTCAGTCTCTTTATGAACCATGTTTTGAGATCATTTAATTCAAGCTGTTGTCAAATGTGAAAGTTAGTATAAAGATGTACAAGTAGGGTCAAACAGTGTATTGTTTTAGCCTAAATATTGAAGTGGACTGTTAGACTATAGGGTTTAGCATTGATGAAATCGCATCCTGTTGCAAAGAGAACCGAGGTAGGGATTATCACTTAGTTCCTTTTAATTAGTCAACAGTCATATATTGTAACTGTGTTATTTATTCACTGGAAAGTTGTTTGATTCTAACACGTATACATACATAAGGTAAGAAATGTAGATATGTTTAAGGAAATATCGTACACTAAATAGGCCTGAACAACAGTCAGAATGTAAAAGCTTTACAAGGATTGTGAACTTTGAACCAATATGAATTCATTGTTTCTGGGATAAATTTCACAAATATCGCAAACCAATATCCTGCAAGAAATTAGGATTTTATAGATAGCTCAGAATGGTGTAATGGGTCTTATGTGCATAAAATTCACTATTATCGCATGCATCATGCTAAATATCTCACTTAAACTGTAGTTAGTTCATCTTCATTGTGTATAGACATCTCAAGATGAGTAAGAAATTGTTTCAGCCACAGTTAATTGTATGTTGATAAATATAAGGACAAAGACTCGATAGCAGTTTTGCATTCTGATGCCCATTAAGTTACGTCTTTAGAGGTAGTTAGTGTTCGTCGTTTACGAAGATGTATGTATTATTTTTGTGAACAAATATCTATTTCATCATTCTATTTTAAAGCTTAAATGATAAAAATCCAATTCAAGTTGTACGTAAAGATGCATACAACAATGGTGTAAAGGTGTACTGGAACAGATTTTTGAAGGTTACAGAACTGTGTCCATGAAGAAACTTTGGTAACCACGCTGCACCTATGCGAATAGTGTCTGCTTTTCACAGCACAAAACCCACAAGTAGAATAGGGACATGAAAAACCATGCATATGAAATTCATAATGAAATATTTGTATATTATCAGTCAAGCTAGATAGGTTTAATATGCCCTTCTTTATTCCTTTAGTTTCACTCACTGAATTTTTATTTCAGGTTGTTGCCACAATGACTGCGACAAAGGGAAGATATCGTAGATTTTCTGTTGTTGTAGCAACAGGTAATGGACAAGGTTTGTGTGGCATTGGTAAGGCAAGGGCGCTTACGCTTTCATCTGCTGTCCGACGAGCCAAGTCACGTGCTTCCCAAAATATCATCTCTTTTGAACTGAAAGAAGGAAGAACATGTAAGTCATTTTTGTTTTATAAGTTTACCTGCTAATAAGTACTTGTACTACTCATGTATTTGTATAATAGAGAGTAGTTGGATTAAATTGGCATCTTTTGTTGCATTATAATTTTCTAAGGGACCATGCAAACTAGCGAGTAGTGACTACGAACTTCACTTATAATTCAAACTTTTCATATGTGATGTCGTATTGGGTATAGCTTGTGTTGTGAATCAATAATGTTCAGTGAAGTATATTTAATTTCTGATATCTTTATTGTCAATGTCATAGTTATTTGAAAATGCTCATTGTAAATTTTTAGGATTCAGATTAGTGAAGTTATCGAAAGAATATTCTTTGTTCACGAGTCAATATCGTGATTTTTGCAGCTGTATTTTAACATCGTTTCTTAACCAACTCATTTTTTAAATTTTAGTATGGCATGTCGGACATGTTTGTGAATGGAACAGCAAAATATTCGCGTCTCCTCTGCCGGAAGGTGAGTCAGTTACACTATATCAAGCTAACTAGTTAGTATTGTGACTTCTCAGAATTAATTAACATTAAACGCTGAAAATAGTTGGTGTACCTGTTGACTTTTATCACAAGGTGATGTTAACGGTATCCACTCCTCCTAATCACTACAAGTTTATTTGTTACCGAAAATGGGCTACTTTGACATCCTCTGACACTTTTTGGCTGTGTCTTAAACGAACTAGGCGCTACTTTGCTACGAAAATACTTTTCGGGTCTATGCAGTGTCTTAATCAAGTTCTGTATACATAGTTCTTTACTCGTATATTCATGTAGGCTTCAGTGTCGACAGTGCTTTGTCTCCATGTGTGTTTTCTTCCAATAGTGTCTGTGACATTCATTTTTCTTCCTAGTTATCTCTAGAGAGGGACCTCTTAGCTAAATATTCTTCACCAAACTTAGTGGATACAAACTACAGGGTCGTGTCAAACTGAGGCCTTTATAAAATGCCAGACCTTATAGAAGTTTAGATTATGTTCATAATGTATGTCGTATCTTCCTATTGCTCATCGTTGGTTTTGAACAAATCGGTGTCTATAACTTTTTCGATATTATAATGTGAAATAATTGTACAGGTTGATCAACTCAATCGCCCTAAAACTTTTGTCTGTTCTTATCGGTTAGTGAACGCTGAAATCATTGCAAGTATTCGAAAGGGACTGTTTACCGAGCAATCACATTAAAAGATGGTTCATTGTGTGTTGAAAGTACTGTCCATCAGTCCCTTTGTTCTGAGCAAAAATTTGACCATCAGACATCTGTGAAGCTTCATTAGTTCTAACTCTCACTTTCTTAATAAATACTTGATTACTGCAAACCTTTGGGGAAAATTTAAAATTATGTGTACTCTCAGGCGTATTTCGCCTATTGTAAGCGTGCTTATATATCATCTGCTTGATTATACATAACTGATTTAAGTGAATAGAAGCTTTCCTAGAAGTTCGTTTCAATTTGCCACACTTCAAAAAAGCACATAGAAGTTTCGGGAAGAAATATAATGAAACTACACGGGACGGATGTCGAGGCGAAACCAAATATTCAAGAATATTTTCAGAATCTAAGTGATGATAAGAAGGAAATACATTTGTAGCATTGCGGACATTTTTCAGCCTTAAAATCAACGTCTTTTGATGTGATAAACCTTAAGTCTTTTCCAACATAATCTGGTAACAGCTAACACCACTTACTAAGGTATATATTAGCTTGGCATGTACAACACATGACCTGCTCATCTTAATCAATGTAGTTTTACCACGTCATTGATTGACTTTCTCTACTTAGCTGACATCGTTCATAAAGAAAAGAATAGGCTCGACATGCGTAACGGGCAGTATACCTAAACCTTGCTTCCCACCTCATAATTACCTGTAATATTCTTCGGAGAACGTGAGGAAATAGACGAAAGCCCCTTGTCAGAAGCCAGTTTCGGTGGATCATCATACATTTGACATAAGTGAATTGCATATCAAACATACTTAGGGTGTTCAGAAGACTTCACAATTTCTCATTGTCTCGCCCAATGAACTATGTTATCTGAGATGAAGTTTTGCGAAGTTTTTTTCCCAGTAACAAGTCAGTCCCTAGAAAGCTGAAGTCAAACAAAGTCACACCAATAGTACATGTATAAGGAAAATCAGTGGGAACGTTGACATTGGGCATCCCTGAAACTCACTATTAGTTGTCGCCATTTCAGAAGGAAGTTCTCCTTGGTTGTTTAACTTCTGATTAACCTAGTATGTTTTCTCTGCACTGCCTTCATAGACGAATTTTTTCACATCTATCGGTTAGCGGAGCTAAATGACATCTTCAGGTAGAGAAATATAGCAATTTTTAGACGCTACGGGGGTGTGCGGGTGTTCCGGTGCTCGGCACGTGGGGCTGTGACCACTGCACAACTGTCCACCCCTGAAACCTACCTGGTTTTTGGAGCTTCTTTTTCCTGAAGCGCCACTCAAAACCACGACTACCTCTATATCATTATAATAAGAAGATTTATCTCTTTTCCTATAAACTGGAATAACCAGTGATCCGCATTGGTCATACAAAACTAATTCAAATCCCGTATACCAGCTAGTACCCTAGATAACAGCTTGTCTTCAGCATCCTTAAGTACTCGCTTCGGCGGTACATGTATTGTGGCCCATGAGTTTAAGTCCCCCTTTACGGCCACTGTGTCACGATTTCGCACATTGTTCAACCTACAGGGATTTGGGAAGCCAGACTCACACAGATGTATCCCATTTGCAACTGCATGGAGTTGTAAGGGGTCTTTGAATAACGTTTCATTTTTTGTCCTTGTGCACCGCTGGGGCGATATCTTCAGGTCCTGCAACTAGTCGTTTTAGTTTAGAGAGCATCCTTGTTGACAGTTGAAAGACTCCTACCTACATCCCATTTAGAATGAAGTGCAGTTATAAGCCTGTTGAACTGCTACTCGAAGTGTTCTTCCCAACCTTCCACTGGTCTCTCTTTAGAAGTTATTAGAGAGAAAATTTCACCTGTATTGGATTCCGTAGAACCACTTTCTGCTATGAGCTTAAACACTTGGCACATATAACTTATTGTCAATATCCTTTCTATATCTTCATCTTTTTGTTTCCCATCACTTTTAGTGTACGTTTCGGAAATTCATATGAACTGAGATCAAATATAATTTTATAAATGTCTACGTTTCGGAAACTTCGAATTAGTTTACGTTTAAGCTACTTCGACTTTTCATCATATTTGGAACACACACAAACCAGTTTTTCTACCCTAATTATTTTGGATGCAGATATAGATATCCATTGGTTATGACTAAACCTTAGTTGTAGGTTGTCCACTGTTCTCACTAATGCTTCTACAGCTGACTAAATATAGTGTTGGTTTTCCATATGATGAGTATTGTTGCATGCTCAAATAAATACTTAATCATCTCCATTCTAAATACCGATGTTACTTTCTCGTCAGGAAGCCAAACATGCAAACATATGCTTCACCACTGCTTGTTATTAAGTACATTCAGTCACAGATCTATACGTAGGAATGCATAATCGAGAGAGAGCGCGATACTTTCCATTGACAACTTATAACAAAGATGTCGGTTTGTTACAGGATTTCATCATGAGCTGACATTAGTTAGAGAACCATTGGAAAACCTGGGAGTACTGGATCGCTGCTTCGTCCCGGTTTGGTACTCTTCAGGTTTTCCAATGGTTCTCTAACCCATTTCAGCTCATTATGAAATCCTGTAACCAATCAATAAAATCCCTACAAACCAATACTTGAATAGCGATGAGATGCTCACTGGCGACTGGCACTATTCAGGTAGGTAGTTACCTGGGGTTCCAGTGGGAAGTCGTGACCATTAGGATGCAGCAGGTCGGGTGTGTGGACAAATACTCGCCGAAGACATTGGCTAGGGGTCGCGCTATGTCGTGAATTGGCAGAAGTTAGAATTCATGGGCCATTGGATCGGGTCCCAGTGGCTTAATGGTATACGAGCTCGCCTTGTAACCAGAAGGTCCTGGGTTCGAATCCCGGTGGGCGCGCACTGTTGAAGAGTCCCAAACTAGGACGAAACAGCTGTCCAGTAATCCCAGGTTTTCCAACGGTTCTCTAGCTAATGTCAGCTCATGATGAAATCCTGTAACCAGTCGAACCCCTACAAACCAACACTTGAATGTCGGTTTGTACTTGTCACGTTTTGATGTTCGAGATTGAATGAGAAAGTTTCTCTACCTATGTAGAACTAAGTGCTTAAATATAGTTTGAATATGCTGAGGCTGAGTTAACTAAAACACAGAGACAATGGATTTTCGTCTTAGTTGAAATACAGAAGTAACTGCTTCGTTTTTCGGATACCTACTAATTTGATACAACTTCAACAACAGTTAAAATATTGATAAGAGACACATTCAGTTTACTAAATATTTGGCTTTATGATGCTGTTTGGTGCACGCGTTCAGGTTGAATATATACAGTTTTATGTTTGATTCTAACTCTACTAAACATTTAGGTTAGGTTGTTCTCTGTGCTGGAATTATGGTTTAAGAACATTTCACAGTCATTCTAATCATCTTTATATGTGAAAATTTATGTTTGTGTCGTAGCAGCTCATTATATTCATAACTGTATATATTTGAATAATCTATTATTATTTCTTTGCATTCATATATAACAGGTAAATGGTTTATTTTTTAGGGTCTGGTTTAATATGTCATCGTATGATCAAAACTCTATGTCAAGTTGTTGGAATCAAAGATATGTATGCTAGAGTTGAAGGAAGTACAACAAACTATCAAGCCATCGCCAGAGGCTTTCTCCGTTTATTAGGCCAGCAGGTAGATCTCGGTTTGGTTTTCATGTATTATCTTTCGCCTTATGTTTATATATGTTGAGTGTTAAATAGCGTATCGATTTTTGATGTCAATCGTATGATAAAGGGTCGCTATGTTGCCTCATTGTCAGTTGGCTTACAAACATTCGTCTTTTAGTTCAAGGTCTCACTCTATACTTAAAGACTCGCGCAGTTAGTAATTCTTCCAGTCGGGGGAGATATATATATATATAAGCGGAGGTGTTCAGCGATTGGGATTTATTCTAGATCCAAGCTTAACCCTCTTTCAATTCCAGGTGACCTATATACAGTCCTGTCAATTATATCACGTGACTCAATTCACTTATTTTATAGCCGACTAGTGGTTTCTGTATATAACAGCTGTTGTCAAAAACTTGCTATTTCAATAACACCGACAATCTGTGACCCTAAACGCGTTGATTTTGTCCCATATCTTTAAACCCAGGTCAAGTATCGCAGCAGTCAGGTGTATTACAACAGGTTCATAACTTCCTACCTCCAATTATTTAAAGTCAGCTTCAAAGCGCACCGTGATAGTTAGTCCCTTGACTTTGTTACGACATCGCAAACAGGATTGGTAGAATTTAGTCTTAAGGACTGAACAATTACGTGGTATGTAATCATCATAGAGGTAGTTGTGTTATTGCCTGGTAACACGAAGACTGTTATATTCATGTGAATCGTGTCTTATAAAATTGTAATATGACTTTCTTTTTCAGAAAACGTACAGTGAATTGGCTACTAGTTTGGGACTTCATGTTGTCGAATTTACGGCTGATCGTAACATGTATCCACATGTACTAGCATCTCCTGCATGTGGTTTTACCATTGATCCGAACAGAAATGCGTCAAGTGAATTAAGTGCTCCAAATATACGGTCGTCATCTCAACAACAAATTGAAGAACTCCCACTTTTAGCTATTTCTAATCCAATACGCCATCGACCTCGTAAACCCAAACCCGATGAACATGATAGTTTCTTAGATGACCTAGTCGATGAAAATGAAGACAATACAGTGGAACATGATATTACCGAGTTGTTGGCAGCAGGTGAACGCGATTTGAACGCTCTTATGTTAGGAGGACGTGTTCTACTGAAGAAACGACCATTAAGTAGCTCCCAGTTCACTGATCCTGGCGTCCTTAGACGAAAGGCAGAATATCACCGCTTCCGAAACCACAAGTCTGTTAAACGGCAGAGGGATGCACATACAGCATTATGTCAGTCTATGTGTTCACCTTAATGACCAACCCCTGTATATTTATGTTCCTTTAAAAAAGAGAACCGTTATCTTGCTTTCTTTTGTATTTATTTCTGTATTGTAATTTACTTCATTACGAAAATCTCTAGTAAAAGTTTGATACTGAAAACCAATTGTTTTCTTTCAAAGTACACTTCCGCCGATTGTATTAAATGCAATACTTACAGCGACGTATCGAATTTACCTTAGTATACCAACAGTGGTGAAATTGTTTTATACCCAATAACCATCTATCGTTGCTGTTCAGAGAATTCATTAACTATCTATCATATATATTTGGTGCTTAGCTGTAAAGCTATAGATTATAACAAAATTGATCTGCTTTAAGAGCCTTATCCAATTATCAGCTGAGCACTGACTTCAGAGTTTGTACACTATTGCAACACCACCTTTCTTTTGGTGGTGAGAAAGCTCTTCTCCAACTTTTACTTAGGGTTTTCGTCCCCGTGCTGCCGCTGAATTGACTTGTCCAGAACGACTGTCCGTGAAGACCATTTCACTGTAATCATACACACAATGGGCGTACCAGTTAATCGTTCCCTATACTTACTCAACAAGTAGTTCTCCTAAGAGGTTACACTATTTCTTTATGGACTCTGTTGTTACCCACTTCCAAATATTTTGTATTCGTTACCACTTGATTTGACAAACTAGTGTAAATTCAATACGTATTACTTCAAATAGCTTTTCGAAATTTCTTATGGTCCGTGACTGCATTTCCTGCCAAATCGGGAACTTCAGCGGTCAAATATTCGAAAACAGTGACTAAGCCATTCTTGACCACCACCGCCCACACGATAGCCGTTATTTTCAGTACGCAACAATCTGCGAACTTTTCCGACTGGCGACCTACATGAGCTGGCCACGACTTTTCTTCATTTTTCACACTAGTCTTAATATGCCTCTACCTTGTCTTAACATCGCCAAATTGGATCTTGTGGTCTCAGGGCGAGGTAAAGCTCCTAAGGACTCGTTTAACATTTGTCGACCTGCGTCGATTTTGAAGACTATGAAATTTTCAGAAACCTGTAGAATAATCGTGCCTCCTTACTTTAAAACTGTGAGATATGGCAGTCAAAAATGGCCTACACGTCTTTGACAATAAATGTCTTCACTAGTTCTAGAAATATTGTGATTCAGCGTAGTTTCATGCGACGTTAGGAATGAATTGGCTGGGAAATACACCACGCATGTCAGCCGACCGCCCTAGACCAGCTATCCTAGATGAAACAGAATTAAGTGGAATTCATTGACTTCTGGTTAAGGTCATTAAGGAAGTATACGTTATGAGACTTGGGGTTCCCGGAATGCATAAATCAATGGTTTCAGACCTTATGCCAGACAATTATTCCTCATCATCGAATTCTGAACAACCTGAATCTTCATTTAGTTACTTATTCTTTACTACTTGTTTATCGTCCTACTTTTGTCTACTCATATTTTGATGAATTATTGAAATGTGGCATTCTGAACAGATGCTTTACTGTGCGAATTTATAGGTTTATCAGTAGTATGTGGGAATATGCAAACATGTAGTACTGAATCGATCTTAATTCTTCAATTTCATAAACAAAAGCAATAATGTTGTCGCTGACATATGTTCTTTAACTGTTATGGATAAGTAACTGTAGAGTCTGAAAGAAAGCATTCTTTATTCATCAATCAGTGTTTTGAGGATTATGGTGGATATCTTTTATCCGAAATGCAATGACGAATAATAGTGGGAATATCTCCACACAAGACGAATTCCGAAGTTAAGGAAGCATGTCAAGCGAACACGTGTACTTAAAAGTTAGAGAGAAAGGAAAACAGCCTCTGGTTGTAGGAGATATTTCCACAGCACTCTCAAACTTTCAAGTCAACAAACTACGGTACATTTCGAAACTTCCTAAGAATGGGTAACTTTATTGCGGGTAACACAAAAGAGGCAATTTTCCTAAGTGTCGGAAGCTTAGAATATGTACGTGTAACAAAATGCAATATTTCTTGTTTTACTTGCTTCACTAATAACTCTTACGTAGGTTTTTCAATTTGCGAATTCGTCCCTTGTCTATCACTGATACTGAAATTAAAAGACAATCTTACCATGTGTCATAAAATTATATTTGTTGGTTTTTTACACGGTTGGGTTTATAGTGCGGTGCTGACTAGCTTTACAAGACGATACGATCAATCTCTAAAGATGCTCACAATTTTCGTCGGGAGCACCAGCTTGAAAAGTCACTAAGTAGGATCCATCACCTATTGTGATGTGTAGTGTTGACACGAGACGGAATATAATTTACGGATTTACATGAAAAATATTATGCAATTGACTAATGATCACAGTATATTTGACAACTCTAAATTAAGAAAATCACAGTTGACGTCGTTAAGATGATCGTCGAAATCGACAATTTTGCGATGAACTTTCAAGTTGAGGATTTCTTGTAGCTTTCTGTCGACAGTTGGATTGAATGTATACCTAACCGTATAAAAGAAACTTTTTGGAGTTTAACTTACTTTATTTCCGTCCACTTCCAATCAGACTTACAGTACGATGAAAAATAGTTGCCATCCAGTCGATGTAATGCATCGTTCCTGAACTGTTAGTATTTAACATTTTGTCACGATAATCTAATAGTTCGACTTACAGTTAGTAAACATATATTGCCGCATTTTTCTGCTATTTTTTCGCCTATTTTCATCGCAGTACTTGTCGGCCTGTTATTAAGTTTTAAAATAGTCGGAAACAAATTACGTGTTGCAATTGATATGTTCATTCGCTTGAAAATAGCCACATATATGAAGACCTTTAAGTGCACAATATAAGTCTACCTGTCACTGAATTATAGACAGTAAACTTGACTTACATGATACAAGGCTGTTTCCAGCATGGGTGCCAGATTTAGAACGGTATGAAACAGAGGGATGTAGTCAGTGATTGTTATTTCAGAGTCGTGGTTGCGATCACTTAAAAGAAGGCCGCTGACAGGACTTTCTGGATGTTTCGCAGCATGCAAAATCATTTTCAGGAAAGGAAGTTTATCAATATGCACCGTTTCCGTTGTTTTCATGTCAAGCTAAAAATAAAATTTTGACAGGCTTATAGAGATTAAATACTGTAAGGAACAAATTGACTAATAATAATACTAATAGAGTTGTTTGACGATCTTTGACTTGCTGGCCTCCACAAAATCTGTGTTAGTAGCTATTTTGCAGCAATGTTTGGATTGGCAACAAAACTGCTGAATTCCTGAGATTTATACATCAAAGTTGTTGGCCAGGCTTCAACAAACGAAGCCCAGACAATGGGAAGAAATGGTTTAACCCACGCAAGTGAATAGGTGCATACAGTAAGAGTCAACCACCATCCACTGCCATCACCACGCCGAGCTTCCTGGAAATCACGCTTGCTTTCAATGAACTTTTCTGGATCTCAGTGATGGAGATAAACAAATTAGTCGCTGAAAATGAGTTTTTATAGTGGCATACTACCAAGCATAAAATGTGATAATGCTCCTTCGACAAAATTCGAGTGAATTTCACATTTTCTGGGTTTTGATTGAACTTTATTAAACCTATTGATTGTAGAGGAGATGAAAACAGTTAGCAGTTTCACACGCATCTAAGTTTGCCCGTGCGAATCCTCAGCAGCCATCACCTGATCACCAGCAATAAAGGTCAAACGATCAGATTTGGCTCATACAAGTCGTGGTAACTCGACCTATCATCCCATGGTCTATCCCAAACGGTTGAAAGCGCCACTTTCCATGGATAAACTGGGAGATTCGGGAAGTACTAAGGTGTGAAGACACATGTTGGATCATGTTTATCACGCTTGGGGCTTCAGAGCTTAGGGAACTGTATACTGTAGCCAGAAACAAAGCTGTTCTACGGATTTGTCAACCAAAGGTGAAATGCAGATGTATCTAGTCTAAAACGCGGAGTCACAACCCGAGAAATTATTTTCATATATCAACTTTGGGAATCAGACATCCAGAACTTGACTTCCCTGATCAACCGAAACCGTTTTAGGAGTGAAACACCACGTTTTGTACACTGCATGAGACTTGGCTAATTGATGTTGTGGTAGTCGTACTTTAGGGAAATGTATTTATGCTATGTCTACACAGAACACAGACGAAGAAACGTTCAAGAATAAAGTTAGACTAGCTGGTGACTTTAATGCTCAAGTAGGGAAATTGTGTCAATCTGAGAAGGATGTCGGTGGCACTTATGGAGTCCCGTGCCAGCGAACCGACAACGGTGACCGTCTCCTGCAGTTCTGTTCAGATAATCATTTGTTTCTTGTAAGCACTAACTTCAAACATAAGGAGAGACACTGTTTGACCTGGCGACCCCCATCATCAAACCAACGCTGGACACAATTAGACCACATAGCAATAACCTATCGTTGGCGTGGGTCGGTAGGAGATTGTCGCTCCTTCTGGAACGCGTGTGTAGATACCGATCACGCACTGGCCCGCGCTCGTGTGTGCTTACGACTGAACGGATGTAGAAAACAGCTGGCGGTAAACCCATCACGTCCCCAGTTCCATCAGGAAACTAAGTCCCTATTTGATGAAGAACTAGCTAAACACATATCTGAGTTCGACAGCTGTGCTCACCCTGAAGAAGCCTGGAAGAATATTCAGTCAGCCATAGATACAGCTATAAAGGCTGTGAATAAGGTAAATCCAAAGGTGGGTAAAAACCATTGGATTTCGACTGCCTCATCCGAACTGATAGATACTAGACTTATTCCGGCGAGCTCCGAATTCCATGAGGAGCGAAAGCTGCACAAAAGGAAACTTACGAAAAGTCACCGCAAGGACCGTGAACAGTGGTGGGTGACAAAGGCGAAAGAGATGGAAAAAGCATCGGCGATAGGCAACACTAGGCAACTCTTTAGACTCATCAGGGAAACGGGTGGGAGAAGGCAAATCATAAGTGAGACTATTTGTGAGAAAAATGGCTCCTTAATTAGCTCTCAGGATAGACAACTTCAACGCTGGAAAGAACATTTTGAGGAACAATTTAACTTGCCTACAGCCACACTGAGCCTCCCCGCAATCCAGCACACATCCGAATGGGATATAGACACTGGACCACCATCTGTAAGTGAGGTTACAAAAGCTATCTGTATTTCGGAACGAGGCAAAGCGGTAGGACCTGACGGAATTATTCCGGAGGTGTTTAAATATGGGGGTGACATACTAGTATGTAGATTAACTAAGGTACTAGGTAACGTCTGGGAATCAGAGACGGTTCCATCAGACTAGGGTAAGTCACTTATTATACCGATATTCAAGAAGGGAGACAAGTCCTCATGTGATAATCATAGGGGGATCAGCCTAACGAACATAGTTTCTAAAATCCTAGGCTCAGTAATCATGCACAGACTAAGCAGAACTCGGGAGGAAAAAACGAGGGAAAATCAAGCAGGTTTTAGGCCAGGTAGAGGGTGCATAGATCATATCTTCACTCTCCGACAGATCCTAGAACATAGACACACTTTTCAGCCTCCAAAAATTGCCATATTTCTCGACTTGAAGGCGGCCTTCGACTCCGTGGATCGATAGATACTATGGCAATGTTTGACTGTGAAGGGAGTGCCAAGAAAGTACATTGCACTAATCAAGGCACTCTACTCAAACTCACGTAGCCGTGTAAGGGCTTATGGGGAATTGTCATCTGAATTGATAACAACCAGTGGTGTCCGTCAGGGATATCTACTTTCCCCATTTCTGTTTAACTTCATCATAGATGTGCTAATGGAAGTATCCTTAACTGAACTTAACGACTCAGGAATCGACTTGTTACCAGGGAATAGTCTTGTGCAGATTACACAGTCCTGTTAGAGGAGGATGCTGACAAAATGCAGAGTCTTCTGAACACCTTGAGCAGCAATCTTTGTATGTTTGGCATGCGATTCGCCCCTGTAAAATGTAAGATGCTGCTACAGGACTGGACTACGTCAACTCCTAACTTAGTGATAGGGAGTGAAGTGATAGAACATGTTGACCACTTCTCCTACTTGGGAAGTTGTATCAGCACCAACGGACTGATTGGTGACGAAATCTCAGCACGGATCCAAAAAGCTCGAGCTGCCTTCGCTAACTTACGCCATCTCTGGCGTAGGCGTGGCATCCGGCTATCAACCAAGCGACGTGTGTACTGCTCAGCAGTTCGCTCTGTCCTTCTCTATGGTTCTGAAACATGGCCAATACGAGTTGAAGACATGAAAAGGTTGACTGTTTCTGATCATAGATGTCTACGATCCCTTTCTCATGTAAGGTGGTATAATAAAGTAAGTAATGTTGACGTTAGGCGTAGTGTTGGGCAAAGAGGGAAAATCAATCGAAGAGGCTATAAAGTTACATAGATTGAGATGACTAGGCCACGTGCTGCGCATGCCTAACCATCGCCTCCCCCGAAGGGTATTACTAGCTGATATAGGTGCAGGTTGGAAAAGAGTGAGTGGTGGCCAAACAAAAACATGGCATCAATCCATGAAATCCTTGGCAGTTAAACTGAGTCAGGTAGGGAAATGCAGACTTTCGGGTTGGGGCCCTCGGGACTCTAAGAATCAATGGCTGGAGACAATAGGTGACATGGCTCAAAATCGTTGTCAATGGCGCAGATGTATTCAGTCTCTGTAATCTTTCATATTCCTTTCTACCACTACTCATTCTGTTTCACTCTTATACTTGTCAAAACTATTGATTCTCTTCACTCATCTTCTTGTCTACCTTTGTGTGCTATTTGGAACGTGGCAACTTGAACTGCTGCATTTCGGTGCCAAGTTCTATGTTGAATCCAGACAGACAGAGAAAGTTAGATTAGGGGAAATACCACCTTCCTAAACTCTAATGTGTACTCTATACCATTAACGAAGTCATGAAAATCGATATAGACAGATTTTGATTGGCTGTTGGCCTCCTATCGGTCTAAAATATTTGTCAAAGCGGGAAGTTTTTTATTTTCACACGTATAATTACTAGCAGAATAGGCAGCAGAATTAATGATTTACCACATTTTAATGGTGTGTGAATTTTTTGGTGTGGGTGCAGTGTGATGAGTCACAATTTTTCAACATAGAACTTAGCACCGATGTACAACAGTTCAAGTCGCGACACTCCATGTAGCAGACAAAGCCAGAGAAGAAAGTGAAAAGAAACGCAAAATAGAGACGGTAAAGAGAGATATGAGGCAAAAAGAATAGTAATATCGACGAACTATGTTGTTTAATTGAGTTTAGAACGATCAGTCACATACTATTTTGATGTATTTATTTTAAGTCCCAAAATAGGATATATGCATCTTTGCTTACTAGGTGAAAATAATTTAACTGCGATTCACTAGATGTAAGGATAAGACTTGAGCACTGCGGTAGAGTATAATGCCATTATAGATAAAAAATTTATTTTGATCATATGATTATGAGCAATAAATTGTGCTCTAAACGTCATCAGTATATATTACTGTATAACACTGTGTGACTTTATCAAAATAAAATTTTATCTATGATGGAATTGCAATCTACTAGGTTACGACAGTGGTATATAAGCACTTAAGTATATACTATTATTCATCTGCTTACAATTATTGTGTTGCGCTCGTTGAGTATTGGTAACGCCATTACATGATGTCACAAAATACCCGTCTCTACTTCATGAAATGTGTCATCTATGTTGTCTGATGTAACCGGTATACTCCAATGAATAATGCTTTTCTGTATACTTTATACGTGGGTGCAATTTAAGTAAACTTTTGATGATGATGGATGTTTTGTAAATATTACAATTACGATGTAAGCTTCAAGATGATTTACCATTTTCTCTAGATACATACCTCTCTGCAGACTATATTACGGATTCTCACACCCTTTGCTGCTAACAAAGTTGTTTCAGACTTGCAAAGGCGTTTTTTCTACTTGCATTCAATATCCTCCACCTCAGGCAATTACGCAGAAGGTAATCACACCTTCGTAAACAGGAATGAGGCTAAATGCATATGTTGGACTTTTTGTGCATAAAGTTTGTCATTTGGGCGTATCGTTGAGGCTTCCTTTGATTCATATACAAACTGTGGTATGTTCCCCTTACTTAAATGTTACTCTTAGATATTCTGACAAATAGTCAGTATAACACTAGGGACAACATTCCGCCTGCCGGTCTCTTAACAACGCTGCCAGACAACGAGTTTTGGAATGCTTATGAACGATTAAGATGTCTCCTCATCGGCTTGAACCAACGAAATCCCGATGCTGCACTGAGGGAAATAACAGAGTTCACCAGAAGGTTGGACAGTCTGCTATTAAATGAACCACAAACAACGTTACAAATACGACGTGCCCCTATGAATCGCTTATTTTTATTAAAATATTAGTATTACCATATTTTTTCCATTTGTATTCATAATATAAACATGTACGTCTAAATTGGAGTTACAATTACTTTCCCTTTACATGCCTAAAAGTGACAGTTTAAAACAGACGTTGGTTGATTGTTTTGTGATGATAACACTTTGGAAGTCGGTTAGAAATTACACCGATCAGTGCCTTACCTACTAAGTTTTATCAGCCGAAGATTACTGGTTCATAGCATATCCTGAGTAACGTTGACTAGTAGGATCAATCACATACCGTATCAACCTTACAAAAATCCTAAGCTAATTCTAACCTACGCGTCAATAATGCCTCTTTGTAGTAAGTGAATATTTTAACTACAAAAATTGAACCCAGTATGTACTGAAATAACCCTTGTCGTTCTTAAAAATGAGCAATGAACGGTGATTCTGGGCCAATAGGGCTCAAATAGGGCTGATAGGCTACCTCTGAATATGTGTAGGAGAAATACAGGGTGCTGAATTAGTGCTAGTTATGCTGGTAAACCAGCATACAGCTCCAGCTTGCGCAAATAAATAAACAATTTCAGAGTTTACTCACTAAAGAATGCTAGAATTAGTTCAGAATTAGCGTAATTTAATTCAGCAATTTATTTTCATTTTGTACTATGAAGAGTTTGTTATCTCAGCATAGCATATGCGAATTAGCTCAGGAATTGCTGGTTTACCATAATTCTATACTGTCAACTTAATATATGTGAACTTCCGAGTAAAAATAAACTTTTTAGTAGCATCCAGTGACAAAAATTGACCCCGACACGTTAAAATATGCAAAACGTCGGGAAAAAAACCTTTAAATCTTAATGGCAAACAAATTCACGAAAACATATAACCAAAAGACGCAGGAACTCATAAAGACATTGGATCTAGATATACCGTCTTTCGGAAATTGTGACGAACAAATTGTAACGTACACTTAGAAATTACCACATTTGATGACACCTAAGTTTCAGTTTTCCAATGTTCCCTAAAATGATGTGAGAAAATCGTCGTGAAGATATGTGGGCAGTAGTGAACAGAATGTTATCCGTTGAAAGACAAATTGATATAAAACGTGTGAATGGCATAAATCCATAATTATGGGCAAAATTTGAAAATGTTCTGAAATATATTTATTTTAAAAGGAAACAAAGATTCCGAAATGCAATTCACAAACCCGAAGACATCTAATTGATTGCTTTTAAAATCTCAGTACTGCTTACGTCACACGTTTCATGTAGATAACCTTCAGGATGATTAAAATACGTAGTAAAGTTTTACCTACTTTCTCTAAGTTACACATACTGGTAAGGTATTTGAAAGCATACCTAGCATGTAGCTATTGAAGCTGGGGCCCTTCCAGGATTAGCGGAATTTTTAATCCTGACCATGGAACCACTTGTGAAGCAAGATGCACGATATGTTTTTGGTGAAGATAGATGACTGTGGTAAACCATGTCTTACTACTATCTCCATTTCAAATATTGCGAAGGGTTGTTATTTGTGAATTGCTTGACATACTTCGTTAACACCATTGGTCAGGAGAATGATGCTGGCGCATGTTAATAGGATGGAACTACATACCGTTGAGACAACTGCCAAATCACTCGACGACCCATCCTTTACGAGCCCTTTTCTGAGCCTACACATGTGAGTGGAAGAGCTGATATTTGTTAATTCATAGTGACTTTCAGCCTCTCCACGGTGATGGGGCTTGAAATTTGGCTTGGAGTGGATAGAAGCGCAACTCTGCGTCAATTATCTAATCCCTAAGAGTTTGTCAAGATAGCCTTTCTTTCATTTGACACTCACATCTCTCCACGTTTTTTGCTGCACTGTTGTTATTATTATTGTTCCCTTGGGTTCATAGTGGAACATAGGGCTTCAACTGCACGCCTCCACTTGCTTCTGTCTTCTGCTGTATTTTTCACTTGCATCCATGTTAATCCATACTGTTTCAGTTCCTCATCACACGATCTCCTCCATGTCACCCTTGGACGTCCCACCCGCCGCTTCCCTTTCGGGTTCCACTCGAGGGCCTGACGCGCGATGTCACCCAACGGCCTCCTCAGCCAATGTCCAATCCATCTCCACTTTCTCCTGCATATTTGTTGGGCGATTGGCTCCTGTTTTGTTTGTTCCCATAGCTTCTTGTTGGTGATTCTTTCCGGCCATCTGATCTTCAGTATAGAACGAAGACAGTTGTTGATAAAGGTCTGCAATAGGCTGTTGGAAATATTCTTGGTGACCCGCCAAGTTTCTGATCCGTATAGAAGAACTGACTTGACGTTTGTATTGAAAATTCCAATTTTGTTGTTGATGCTGAGTGACGAAGATTTCCAGATTGGTTTCAGGTTGATGAATGTGTTTCTCGCCTTCCCAATTCTCTATTTGACATCCTCGTCCGTTCCTCCTGTGGTTGAGACAATGCTCCCTATATAAGTGAATGAAGTAACCTCTTTCAAATCCTTCCCGTTGATGGTGATTGGCGCTGGATGTTGCTGTTGTTGGTTGGTTATTTTCATAACTTCCGTCTTGTCTATGTTCACCTGCAGTCCTGTCTTTGCTGCTTCTCCCACCAGTTTGTCGGTTTTCGCTTGTAAATCTTCGATTTTGTGTGACATCAAACATAAATCATCCGCGAAATCCAGGTCTTCGAGATTCCTCACGTCCGTCTAGATATCTCTGCCTTCTCGTTTCCCGCTGTCTGACGCATAATCTAGTCCACCACAATCAGGAGTATCATTGGTGATAATAAGCACCCTTGTCTGACTCCTGTGTTTACTCCAAACGCCTCGCTGAGTTTTCCGTTGTGGATCACTTGACATGTGCCGTTGTCGTACAGCTGTTGAATAAGGTTGATGAATGTTTGGGGTACGCCATAGTACTTGAGTAGTTTCCAAATTACTTCGCGGTCAACGCTGTCGAAGGCCTTCTCAAAGTCTATAAAGTTGAGGTAGAGATTTGATTGCCAATCCGTGCTTTGTTCGATGATGATGCGTAGAGTTGCAATTTGGTCAGAACATGATTTGCCTTTCCTGAATCCAGCTTGTTCTGGTCGGAGTTCTGTATCCAATGCGTCCTTTATTCTCTCCAGGATGATGTTACTCAGGATCTTGCTTGGCGTCGACAGGAGCATGATTCCTCACCAGTTCTTGCAGAGTCCTAAGTCGCCCTTCTTTGGTAGTTTCACCAGGTACCCCTTCCTCCAGTCAGTAGGCACCTTTCCCTCTTTCCAGATCTTTTGCAATAATGGAGTCAGCATATCTGCTGTCGTTTCTGGGTCCGCTTTCAGTGCTTCCGGGGGTATTCCATCTGGTCCAGCTTTAAGAAGCTTGATTGCATTCATGACTTCAGTTTTCGTTGGAGGATTGGTGTCAACTTGCAGTTGTGTAGGTGCTGTTGTTGGTATTTCTGGACGGGTTGCAGGTGGTGGTCTGTTCAAGAGTTCTTTGAAGTGGTCCGCCCATTGTTTAATCTGTCTTTCTTCTTTGGTAATTGGGTTCCCTCGGCTGTCTTTTATAGGTTTCACTTGTGTTGATCTCTTCCCGGATAGGGACTTGGTTATCTGATATAATGTCCTTAGGTCCGTTTTGCCTGCTGTCTTCTCAGCTTCAGTGGCCAAATTGACGTAGAATTGTCTTTTGTCCTTCCTGGCACTCTTCTTCACTTCTTTGTCCAGTGCTGTGTAAGTTGAGCTCAGCGTCTCTTTCTCTTGTCCGTCTTTGCATTGAATCACTTTCTCTTTCACCATTCTCCTCTCCTCTATTAGCTTCCAAGTGTCCGTTGAGAGCCATTCTTTGTCTTGTTTCTTCTTTCTTCCTAAAACTGTTGAACACGTTTCGTTGAAAATTACCTTCAGATAGTTCCAATGATCTTCCACGCATGATTCTTCCGTGATGTCACGTAGTGTTTCCTGCCTTGTTCTGACGGTTGCAGTGAAAATGTCCTTTGTGGTTGTGTCCTTCAGTTTTTGCGTGTTGAACTTGCATTGTGGCCTATCCCCAGGTATCCTCGAGGCTTTCAGCTTCACCTTGAAAGTCCCTTGTACTAGATAGTGGTCTGAACCCACATCTGCTCCTCTCCTCGATCTTGTGTCCGGTAGGCTCCGTCTCCACTTCCTTGAGATTGAAATGAAGTCTATCTGGTTTTTGGTGTATCCATCTGGTGAAATCCATGTTGCCTTGTGTATATCCCTGTGTTTGAACACACTGCCACCAATCACCAAATCATTGAAGGCGCAGAAGTCTGAGAAGAGTTCACCATTTTCGTTCATTTCACCGAGGGCCTCACGACCCATGGTGAGTTCTCTTCCTGCATTGTCTCCTCCCAGTTTCGCATTCATATCACCCATCAGGATTTTGATATCGCTCTCTGGGACGTTGTCCATTACTGTTTGTAGTTGACTGTAGAAATCCTCCTTCTTCTCTTTTTCTGAGACGTTTGTAGGTGCGTAGCACTGAATGATTGTAACCTTTTTTCCTTTTGAGTTGAACCTGGCTGTCATTATCCTGGAGGAGATTGGTTCCCACTGCATGAGAGCTTTAGCCGCTGTTGATGACATCATGATGGCTACTCCCTCGGTGTGCTCGTGATCGTCCTCTGGGTGACCGGAGTAGATTATTGTCTCCCCAGTTGGTAGTTGGCACCTTCCGCATCCGTTCCATCTGCTCTCGCAGATTCCCAACACTTCTATTTTATATCTCCTCATTTCTGCGGCTACCTGAGCAGCCTTTCCAGTTTCGTACATTGTACGAATATTCCACGTCCCCATCCTTATTTTTGCCTTCATCGAAAGAAGGCACATCGGCTGACTGGCTTCCCGAAGGCTTTCACCAGCCTGCGTCATTTCACTTTCCCGATTCCAGCGAGAAATAAGGTCATTGTTTGTATTTTTAGAATTTAAAATATATTTGTGCGTTGATGTTTTCGTAGCAATTTGGTTAAGTTTTGGGGGTGGAGTTGCTAGCACCACGCCCCAACCCTCCCTCTTTATCCGGGCTTGGGACCGGCTGGAATACTAGTGACCTAGTAATCTAGGCGAGGTTTAATTATAGCTTGATTTCACACCGTATTTTTGGTACAAGTATGGAATTCTCAGCATGTGATATCGGTAGCCCGAATTTCGCGGGCCGACCATTGATGTCAGGTGTGCGAGGTTGCTGCACTGATGTGGGGCGTGCGAATTAGTTTTCACTACCTGTGGGTTATCCCACAAGGTTTTGCTACTACCACAGCTTTCAGCAATTTTATGGCCTTCAAAACTTTGGTTGAGTCATAAGGTTGGTGGTAACTGGTATTTGTGTCTGTTGTTGATATTTTTAGGAGTGTATGTAGTGCTCAATTAAAGAACCACTTGAAGTGATCAGCTCTGTACATATTTTGTTTTTCCTTCGCTGTCTTTCATTGACGTTGTCTACAATGGTGGCCTGCTCGATCTCGACTTGATTGCTTGTTACAGTCTGCCTCAACTGTAGCTTATTTTGCTGCAGTTACCAGTGTTTCACGGAAAGGCTTTTGTTTTTCCTAACACTCTCCACAGCTTTCTCCAACTTTCTTCAGGTTACACCTAGCTTCTTCTTTTGTTCTTCATCTTCTACCTCACCATCCTCCTGTCTTGTGTTAGCTCTCAGATTTCCATCGGGAAATATCCCTGGTTTAGCTTCTTTTAATTCAGGTTTTATATAAGCTACGTTTTACGCTTTCGAGAAGGATTTCTAGCATCCTTCTACTTCGGTTTCCCCGGTGATTTTGCCTAAACCCCCCTTGAGCTTTCCTTAGTGACTGCTTTAATAGCAGTATTTATAGCTTTCTCCACCAGTTCAGCTGTGATGTATCTACAGCCTGTTTGGGAGCCTTCGAATCGGTATCAGTATGACCATGAACCATATGCTGTTTTGAACTATCATCTGCATATCTTCTCGATCCTGTGTTAGCTAAGCTATCTCCGCACTGAAATCAGGTCTGCCTCTCTTTTGGCGTCTCTGCCAGGTGAAATACTCGATCCACAATGAATATCATTGTGCTTCAACATACCACCTCCAGTCTACAAGTCATCAAGTGTCCACAAATGAGTTTTTTGCTGTCCTGAGCATAACCAACTGCTTCCTGATTGAAGATTGCTTCCCTTGCTTTCGCTAGATGATAATAATCACTTCATTTCAGAAATAATAATTGTACAGAATGGAATTTTCAGCATTTCATTACATATCGTAACAATTTAGCTCCTTTTATAGAAATGCACTCACATAAAACTGTAATAATTATATCAATAATGAAACCACTATAAACAGATATTGGCGAAAACATTACAACTCATAGGTAGACAGTATCATGGACAATGCATGTAATAATAATATTTTCTTACACTTTGCATTACAGTTGCCGATTCGAAAAGTTTATAAGTTCTTTTCTGATATCTGACTCTTCACACAAAACCCGTGCCAGATATGGCTTAGTGGAATTTTATATTTAGTCGTATGAGCTCAAATTCTTTTGAGGTTTCTTCTGGCTTTACCTAAAATATATCAGTTAAAAGTTGAGAGAAAAGAGGATGTCCAGTATCAGACATGATAATTTTACCCAAATGTTTACAAGAATTGGAGTGCCTGTCGACAACAATTCAGATGGCTGAGTTAATGGCCAACCACTAACCCTGCGTGTCCTATGTATCTCCACAACTCCATATGTCTTTTCTGAAATCAAATGTATCTCTCTGCTGTTTGATATTTTTATGCCGATGAACGTCTCTTCATATACTACCGATAAATCTTATCAGTAGCACTCGCCACAGTATGACATAATTTTTTGAGAAATCCAGGGAAGAATAATGGCAAGTAATAAAGGAGAATGGGCAGAATACATGAATTAACAAACTGTAAGAGAAGAGGTTAAGTTATACCAGAAAGGCTCAACTTCTCTTTGTAATATTTCAACATGATATGACAAGTCCAACAGAGATTCGAGGAGAACCTGATACCAAGATGAGAAATTTTCGATTTACTCCTTATCACAGTGTCGTCACTATTACAAAAATCATGCGATTGTATCAGCTAATGCAAGTCTTGTTCTCATCTAAAACTAAAACTAGTGATATAACATTTACATGGATTTATTTTAAGACTATTTAGTTGTGACCATTTGTAAAATTCGGACAAGAAGCTATTCATTTAAGAACAGTCCAAAGCAGAATCTGCTGAGACAGAAATGGACATATCATCAGTGTATTTAATGAAGTCAGATTTGGGAGAATATGGAAGGTCACGCTAAAGGAAAGAAAAAGGTAATGGAGAAAATACAGCGTCTCGGGGCATACCAGTCTACGTTGGCAACGAAGTGAAAACCTTTCCGCTCACAAACTGTATGTTGTTTCCTTCCCGAAAAATGAGGGAAACAGCCACTTTGTGACCCAGGAATCAGTGTTTGCGAAATCAGCTCGCCCTAGGAATTCAGTCAAAGGCAGAGTGCGGTCTTTAATGAGTCACGAAGAAACTTTTCGCCTTTGTCAATATTTGAAACAATATTGTGGTGGACTGCAACGACGACATTTAATCTGATTCTACTGCATTTATAAGCAAACTGCTTTGGGTTATTGAACGATCTCAAAGAAGGTTTAAAGACAAGTAACAGAATCTTTTCTAAATGTGTTGTCGATTGGCCTAAATTTTTGGCCTGATCCAGAAGATGACTTTGGTACATGCACCACCTTTATTTCTTTCCAGCCAACAGGAACTCTATCCCTGTAAAACGTTCCATTAAATATTTGAGAAAGAAGATAACACATAATATCGGCACAACTTTGATGCAAAACGCTCGGCACACCATCGGATCCTGCGCTATATAATGGATTCATGACTTGAGACATGCGGAAACATCCTGTTCCTAATCCTTTACGTGACTAGAAGCATCAGGTCCAGTCATATTGGCTTGTTACATTATAAAAGTTCTATTTAAGGCATTTACATCAGGATGGCCATCGACTGAAACTTGCTTTCTGCTTGTAAGTTAGTAACAAAGTTTCTGGATCTTAGGAGCATTCTTACATGATGATAGTTTTTCATTAACTATCCCGTTTAATCTTTTTACTTCAAACTTTATCAGAGCTTATTCTTCGAACACCTGCATTTTCATGTGATTTATACAAATTCTCTTAGTCCCTTCTAAGCTGTCCTATCCTATCGAATCTCGTGGACAGTGCCTGGCTGGGCAGCAAATGTCCGAACAGAATTTGAGATGGGAGATGATACTGGAGATAGTAACGTCTGATACTATTTTAAAGAATAGTTTCAAGTCATTGTCACACAACATATATATTAGCGCTTGAATATTAGGATAGTTCTTGGATTTTCTTTGTCAGGTGAACAAAAGCCCTCCTATGAAAATTGCCATACACTTTCGATATAATACGAATAATGCAACTGTCAGAATTCAGTGGTTGGGCTCTCCTTCGCACCCGGTATAAGTCACGATAGTTTGTGGAATTCAGGCCTCGGGTTTTGTCCATACGAGTGTTGAATTTGACCATGTCTTCATCCCCAAGTGATGTGAAGAAGCGGTGATCGCAAGTATTAAAGTCCTCATGGACTACTGACAAGGAATTTCCACAAATAGGGGCAGCAAATTCTGTAAATTCGTTTGCGGAGATGGATATGTCAGAGGATCTGCAGTCTGAAGTTATTTAATCATTTGTTATTTATATGTACGAACATATTTGCTTTGGATGACACCTAACAGTGATGGAGTCTATATTGTCACTGGAAAATTTTAGGAAACATTACTACGTCTAGACAAGACTGTATTGATAAAAACGGCTACCCCTTTGAACTGTGCCTGTCCTGACGGAGAATTTCATATCCATTTAATGAGTTTAGATTGTCACCATATTTCTGGTGGAACCAAGTTTCTTGTATAGTTTAAACACTGACATTTCGATGCACACTTCAGGAGGTTTAAGGCTAGAAGTATTCCACTTTGTTAGGCAGAGACCCACAGTTAGCGTTGATAATTTCGCGGGCAGTCATATGACTAATTTCTGTGCGGAGTTAAATAGTGGCGTTCCATGGGTGAGAACGCTCCAGTGGCTTTGGACGAGTGCTGCTCGTCGGCTAAGGACACCTGTCATTACTACAGAGAAAATATGAACGCTATTCACCGATTAAGAAGCAGATTTCACCCAGATAACGGTTTTAAGTACTGTTTGGACAGTGTATTAAAAGATCGTTAGGATTAGGATTGCGGTTAGGATAAGGCTTATAATTAGAGTAAGTACTAACGTTAGGGGCACAATAAGAGATAGATTTGGAGTTGCTATCATTTGTTTTAATCTGTTTACCATCCATATTTTCCCAGCAATTAGCCGTCAGTCCTCTTAATGGAAACAGTAGTAATTCAAAGGACGGCTTTTTGAGAAGACTGCAAAACAGGGTAAGAGCTATGAACGAGTCAGAAAAAAGCTCACCTTAAGTCATCTTGGTGAATAAATGTACACAAACTAGTACAACCTAAAAATTGATGCTTAGGTCTTTTCGGAGAAAGATACCCTGTTCAATGAGTTTTCATGCATTTCCTCATTGATAAACCTCATTTTTTGTATGGTTGGTAGACTCAAGATCACTAGTGCGTTCGCATCCCTTGGGACGCTTTTGCTTAGCTTCGAAGATTTCTGTACGTTTTAATGCACGCTTCCTGATGTTTTCTCAGTTTATGAGGATGACTCAACGCGATAGGTTGGAAAGATTTTGAAAATACGTAATTAGAAATGTCAGGATTTGAAGACGTTAGTGATTCTTTGGGGCAAAAATAAAGAACCAAATAGAAGCAAAATGTAGGTTGATGGTAGATGGTATTTTCGGCAGCCCAAGTTTCAGGCGGTTTGCCATCTCAACAGACTGGCGCACGCCCTCAGACATGTCATTCATCATAATCCTCTGACCAGGGTCTTGTCCATCACTTGACATCACATTATTTTTGATTGCTTGGAGATCCAATCAGCTAGAATTCCTACAAAGCAATACTTGAACATTACTATTTGGGTTGATATTTTCTTGTTGTGCACTTAGACACAATGTCAAATTCCATGGCGATTCCTGAATAAAGATCCTAGCAAAATAATCCTCCAGTGCAACAGTGTTTCCTATCACCTTTTGATTGGCTGATATATCCCTGTATGAATAAACAACTCGGGAACTGAACGATATCTCTAAAAGTTGATTTAAGGGAAAGGTTTCTCAGTACTCCACTAAAGTCAGAGCGAAAAATGCCCTTGACTGTATGTTTTGCTTTATGTGAGCGGTACCACTTCAGAATAACAAAACCTAACAAGATTCATTATATAAACCAAAAGCAACAGCAACGAGCTGCTGATGAAAGAATAAAAAAGAGCGGGATGCTGCAAATTAATCATATTTCCTCAGGATCGATTTCTTTATCTAAAAGTATTGCATCGTGAATTTCTTGTGATTTTTTATTAGGTCTTCACGCTCTGCCAACCTTCAGGTGGTAGATTATTAAATTTTCGATGAACAATGAAGCTGAGGATTGCTTGTAGCTTTCTGTCGACAGTTGGATTGAATGTATACTTAACCGTATAAAAGAAACTTTTTGGAGTTTAACTTACTTTATTTCCGTCCACTTCCAATCAGACTTACAGTACGATGAAAAATAGTTGCCATCCAGTCGATGTAATGCATCGTTCCTGAACTGTTAGTATTTAACATTTTGTCACGATAATCTAATAGTTCGACTTACAGTTAGTAAACATATATTGCCGCATTTTTCTGCTATTTTTTCGCCTATTTTCATCGCAGTACTTGTCGGCCTGTTATTAAGTTTTAAAATAGTCGGAAACAAATTACGTGTTGCAATTGATATGTTCATTCGCTTGAAAATAGCCACATATATGAAGACCTTTAAGTGCACAATATAAGTCTACCTGTCACTGAATTATAGACAGTAAACTTGACTTACATGATACAAGGCTGTTTCCAGCATGGGTGCCAGATTTAGAACGGTATGAAACAGAGGGATGTAGTCAGTGATTGTTATTTCAGAGTCGTGGTTGCGATCACTTAAAAGAAGGCCGCTGACAGGACTTTCTGGATGTTTCGCAGCATGCAAAATCATTTTCAGGAAAGGAAGTTTATCAATATGCACCGTTTCCGTTGTTTTCATGTCAAGCTAAAAATAAAATTTTGACAGGCTTATAGAGATTAAATACTGTAAGGAACAAATTGACTAATAATAATACTAATAGAGTTGTTTGACGATCTTTGACTTGCTGGCCTCCACAAAATCTGTGTTAGTAGCTATTTTGCAGCAATGTTTGGATTGGCAACAAAACTGCTGAATTCCTGAGATTTATACATCAAAGTTGTTGGCCAGGCTTCAACAAACGAAGCCCAGACAATGGGAAGAAATGGTTTAACCCACGCAAGTGAATAGGTGCATACAGTAAGAGTCAACCACCATCCACTGCCATCACCACGCCGAGCTTCCTGGAAATCACGCTTGCTTTCAATGAACTTTTCTGGATCTCAGTGATGGAGATAAACAAATTAGTCGCTGAAAATGAGTTTTTATAGTGGCATACTACCAAGCATAAAATGTGATAATGCTCCTTCGACAAAATTCGAGTGAATTTCACATTTTCTGGGTTTTGATTGAACTTTATTAAACCTATTGATTGTAGAGGAGATGAAAACAGTTAACAGTTTCACACGCATCTAAGTTTGCCCGTGCGAATCCTCAGCAGCCATCACCTGATCACCAGCAATAAAGGTCAAACGATCAGATTTGGCTCATACAAGTCGTGGTAACTCGACCTATCATCCCATGGTCTATCCCAAACGGTTGAAAGCGCCACTTTCCATGGATAAACTGGGAGATTCGGGAAGTACTAAGGTGTGAAGACACATGTTGGATCATGTTTATCACGCTTGGGGCTTCAGAGCTTAGGGAACTGTATACTGTAGCCAGAAACAAAGCTGTTCTACGGATTTGTCAACCAAAGGTGAAATGCAGATGTATCTAGTCTAAAACGCGGAGTCACAACCGGAGAAATTTTGGGATGTATCATTTTTATGAATGTTATGACGTGAAGTTTTTTTGCTGGACTCCCTCATTGAAGGCTTGTAAATAGAGGCGAAAACGATGCAGAAGCAGATTGCGAGCTCTATCTTATTGTGTGGCAGTGGAATCTATAGGGTTGAATGGGATAGATTCAGTCGAGGTCGTCAGTTACGTAGGACTCCTATTCTGTATTAAGCTGAACGCAGTGATATCACTGAAATCAGATTTTCTGCAGGTAACACTTCGTGCTCAGGGCATTGGTTATTTTACTCAGGATAGCTAAGATGGTATATTCGCAAACCAACGTTTGCTTGTCAGGATCCCAGCGCAGCCTTCGAGGAAATCTTTCCATTCTGGACAATCTTTCTTACAATGAAGAGAAGCTGAGTCAAGTCTAGGGACAAAAAGAACCATTTCGTAGGCTCCAGCATGGCATTTCTCGGAAGTTATTTTGTCACGCCCTTTGGTAGAAGACAAGATAGTTTATTGCTTGATAGATACGACATTTATTTTTGTTGTGTGGTCAACGACAATGCTAGACCTGCGCTTAATCTACAGTAACTATCGACTGTTTATCCTTGCCGATCTGACTTGGCGGCCATGTTGTTGTTATCAACACCTTAATTAGTATAGAAAGAAGTCAAAATTATGACTGTTCAAGCCTGCCTCTGTCGGTGGCACAGTGGTTAGGACGCTCACCGAACATGCACATGGCCCGGAGTTCGATCTCCTGCAGACGCAAATCTGGTATCGATGGTTGGCCTGGCAAAATTGGGCTACCGATATCGCATGCTGATAATTCCATAGTTGCACCAAAATATTGTGTGGAATCAAGCTATCGAAAAAATAATAAAAAAGAAGAGGAAAAGGGGAAAAATAGCCACACTACAACTCAGTAACCCGGCCTCAGCACTTCAAAAACGCAAGCGTTTGAAGGATACTTCATTCAGCAGAGATAAAGATACAAGTCTTTTAGCGTGAAGTGATTGAGGTTCAGTTCAGCTGGCGAGTTTCCTTGACCCCTTATACTTTCACTAATGCGCTTCACACAAAACCGATTATAAAATGGGAATTTTTGTAAGGAGTGACGCATTGCTTACCTGGAGAAGTGAATTCTCCATATACAGAGGACAGAGATTCAGGGATAACTCAAAGATCTCTTGCTGAACAACGAGAGAGAGCACTGTTTTGAATCTTACGTCATTATGATTCTCTAGGCAGAGAGAGAACGTCACTATGTTCGAAATTGTTAAGAGTGAATTTGGACATAATCCCATCAGATTTTACATTTCAGAAAACATTGAAGGAGAGAAAATAACCAGGCATGAACTACATCGCCGTAGAGTATTGGTTGTTTCAGGTAACCATAAACTTACAGAACCGACTCCCAGAATTCTTGTCGACTCTCTGAATTAACTCGCTTGAGAAAGAGTCAGGCCGGCAAAATCTCTTATTAGAAAGGATTTAACATAGATTTCCATCCTCTCATCATGAATAAAAGAGCTTGTATTGGAAATCTAAATATCCACACACAGTAGGCCTGGAAACAAACAGGAAGGCCAATAAGAAACGTTCACGACGTCGCAAGACGACGAAAACGTTCCCCAAGAAGGCAGACGATTATAAGGTCTGCAATTCTGTTGTCGAACAAGTAGACCCTGCTTTCCAATGCAACTTTTGTAAGCAATGGGTACATTGTAGATGTGACACCGGGGTACCAAAGGTATATTACGATTTTATGCGTAAGAACCCATGCCCATGGTTCTGGTACATATGCCCAAGGTGTCGTCCTAATGCAGCCTCGTGTAGTTCCTCGAAAGCTAAAGATGGCATAGAGGTAACAGGAAAAAACGTGAAACGTTTTACTCCCACCAACTCAGAAAACAGCACAAGTGCATGTAAATCGGGGATACCAAAATCCACACCGGTTATACTTGCGATTCTTGCCATAACTGCCCCAGACACAGAGGTTGAAGCACCAAGGGTATCTGTCGCTGGGAAAGGACCCTTACCGTCCACCAGTAAAAGTGGCCACAGCACTACGACACACAATAATACCCAGTTGCACCAGACGAAACAAAACGGTCTCAAGGGGGATGACAAATGTGCGAGGACCGAACCTAAATCCACGGTTAGTAGATCAAACTGCGTTATCCTCTTTAATGTACCAGACTGTAGCAGTAGTCTGCTGGAAGACAGGGCCCTGTTTGATCAGGAACGGTGATCCAAATTATGTAGCACACTGGGTCTGGACATCCAACCAGTAAGACTATTCAGATTGTATAGGGGCACTGCTGCTCCTCAAGGCAAACCATCCCCACTGAGGGTAACACTAGGCTCTACAGAGGATGCCGAAAAAGTTTTACTGACTTCCCAAGTCCTTTCTATAGGGAGGACCTGCAATATACGTGTTAGGCCAGATAGGCCATGGAAGGAAAGACAGATGGCGAGGGAGTCGCCAGAGCTTGTTCCTTCTGCCTCCATGGTTGTTCACGGCATTCCCGAACTGGTAACTGGGAACGCTTGTGAGAAGCACTGTCACGATGTCCAGCAATGGAGATGGTTGGCATCCCAGATGGGTCTGGGAAGTTCAGGGGCTGTCCCTATTTTTAGACTGCCTCGACCCACTCACCTAATGACAATTAACACTCCACGTCTGTTAGCTGTTAAGTTCAGCCCCCGAGACCACTTGACTACTGCTCTCCAGAGATGGTACGAGACCAAGGACAAGGTCAGCAGACACATTCGCTGCTGCGAGAGCCGGCCTCGCACCCAAAGGAGGGAACAAAACGTTGTCATAGAACATCCCCAACCCCTAGTCACAATACAGCGGCGCAGCATGGACGCTGATAGCCAGTGTCATCCAAGTGCTCCGATTGAATCAGAGGAAAAAAACGCCAACAGGCCGGTTCCCGGGGAATCGGCCAACTAGTTCGTAGGATAACTCCTCAACCGACAGCCCGCATCACGTCAACCACCCCCCAATACGGGGACGTGGTGAGACTGACTACCAGTTGCCTGTACAGTAATGTGAGAGGGCTAAGAGGTAAAATAGCTGAACTTAGATACCTACAATCACAGCTGAACTCCAAAATCATAATACTGACGGAAACCTGGCTAACCCCTACGGTGGAAGACAGCGAAGTCAGTATAAATGATATGGTCCTAGTCAGGCGAGATAGGGATCTGAAAGAAGGAGGTGGAGTCGCCATATACGTCGACAAACAGCTCAGATGTGTCCATGCAATCGACCCTCCCCTCATTGAGCTCCCTGACTCTATATGGCGCCATTTCACCGTTGGGTACTGTAAATATCTAGTGGGCAGCATTTACAGATCACCTTCATGTGGAGCAGACCACAACCAGGTGCTGTTGAATGCAATTTCAGCGACACAAGACATGGGTTATGATCAAATTGTCATAGCTGGAGACTTCAATGCCTCATCTCTTAACTTGATGACGGGATATGCCCAGGATAGATTTGATCAAAATCTGCTGCATACCATCAGGGAGGCCGGATTCACTGAAAATGTCAGAATGGATACTAGATGGGGCCCAGATGGGAAGTCTTCTAGACTGGATTACGTGCTCACTAGTGACCAGCTACTAGTGGAAAACGTTCACATCACGACTCCCATAGGTAGTAGTGACCACGCGGTCATAAGATTCGACGTAGTCCTCCGCGAGCGTTTACAGTGGGACAATACACAGCCCTATCTGTGTGATAACGAGGGTAATTACACCGAAATGCGAAGACTTTTGTCTGAAGCAAATTGGCCAAAAAATTGGACAGAGCTTACAGTAGAAGAACACTGGGGAGTGGTAAAGGAGATCATTCACCAGGCGGTCTCAGACACTGTTCCTTTAGTCACACCAAAAGCTAGAAAGCAACGTTCATGGCTAAAAAGGGGGACACAACGCCTTCTACAGGCGAAGCGAAAAGCCTGGTTTGCGTGGCGAGTATCGAAGAGTCAACCCGAACATGAGGTATACCTCGAGCTCAGGAATCGATGTAACATACAAGTCCGGAGTGATAGAAGGACATTTCAGAGAAACCTTACCAATAAGCTTCTCGTGAACCCCAAAAGCCTATACAGGTTTAT